AATACCATAGCTAATTAGGGCAGGCTGGATGTGGGGAGAACTCTGGGGGCACTTACCTGTCTAGAGACATGAGCGCTTCTAAACAGGCCGGGGAGCGACCTTCCTGTAGAGCTTCACTCCAGTTTGTAGATTAAGGATGCACTAGTGGCTAGTGTTTTACATTGGCTGGAAGCATGTGTGTGTGTGTGTGTGTGTGTGTGTGTGTGTGTGTGTGTGTGTGTGTGTGTTTGAGGGAGCGGGGAGAGGGAGAGAGAGAGCAGAGAGAGACAGAGAGATACAGAGATAGCTAGAGAGAGGAGATAGGAGAGCAAGAGAGACAGAGATAAAGACAGCTGGAGAGAGGAGAGATAGAGATAGAGACAGAGAAAGAGAGACAGAGGTTGTGAGAGGTTGGGGGACTGGCCAGGGAGACAGCTTCTCAAAACAGGAAAATCTTCTCAAATATGATAACCTTCTCAGAACAGGAAAAGAAATTGTGGTTTAGTAAAGCAAAAAGTGGCTAGATTATTGATGGTCAAATCTTACTTTTACTGATTATTCAGGTAGATACTGGCTCATTTCTAAACCTCCTTCTTTAGGGAAATTTTTAAAAGTGGTGACAATGAGTTATGTCTGGGTTTCCTTCGGCAGATTGGGATCACAGCACAGTTTCTTCCACTCAACAAGTACTTTTAAAGCAACTGCTCCGTGCCAGACCCTGCGTGGTGATCTGGGGAGGGGAAGAAATGCTGGGTATGATCCTTGCCTTCCAGCAACTTACCAACCCGTCGAGGAGACAAGACTTATAAAAATGAAACAAATGTGGGGAAAGATGAAAGCCTGGTGTCAGGAAAGTACTAGGGTTTCATTGTCCCCAAGGAGCATCTGCCATGTCAGCAGTCATGGTCACAGCTGCTGGTGGAAGCTGTGCCCCCGGTCGGGTGGAGGGTGCTGTGTCTGCGAGAAGCTGGGGCATCTGCTGGTTTGCACAGGGAGCATCCACACACATGGTCGTTATCCGAGCTCACCGTGGTGCATCCCAGGCAGGGCATTTGGGTATCGAGTGGAATGACACATGGGTGCTCCGAGACTCACCATCAGGGACCTCGTGCAGGGAGGACTGTCAGCTGGCTGCCTGGCCCAGGAGAAGCCACGCAGCTTGTCCCTATCTGCAAGGTGGGCTAATGACACCCACCCTTCCCACCTCGGGTGATTGTATAACACCAGGGAGAGGATGTGGCACCCTTGGTTTAGGCGCTGAATGTATTATATGATACAGTGGTGGTTTATCATTGGCTGCAAAAAGGAATTGGAGTCTGTGTCCTTCATCTTATTGACACCCCTCCGGTGTCCACCTGCTGTCCACTTGACTCACCTGTTCTCTCCACTCTCCTGTTCCCCTAAGGTCTTTCCTCACTCCTGGGTCTCAGTCTGTGCCCCTGATCTGATGGGCACCCATGGTGCCATGAAATGCATGTCCTTTTCTCCACATCTGGATCTCTGCCCCGTCTTTGCCCCTAAGCCCAGATCCCTGGCATTTCCCTGAACGTCCTGCAAGCTGAAAGGTCAGCCTTGGTTTCCACCCCACATGTCCCAGTTAAAGGCGTCACCCTCACAGATGGTCTTTGAGCCCTCTCTTTGGCACCTCCATGCCGCCCCCAGGAATAGGTCCTGCTGGAGTCGGGCCTCACTCTTCCACTCTCACCGCTATTTCCCTGGCTCTCAGTCTTGCTTTCTTTCATCCTAATCACTATTCTGAGACATTTACAATTATGTATCTATTTGTTTAGCAATAGATCCCCACCTCTCCTATGCCTGAAGAATCTTCCCTGTAGCTCTAAGAAAGAAGATGGTCGTAGAGCAGCTGCTCTGGCTGTGGTTAGTTTGTGGGCTTCTTCCTTTCTCCAGCCAGGACAGCCCATCTCCTCCACTCCTGCCCCGCCATGGCCCTGAGACCTCAAGGAGCATGGCGTGCAAACCACACCTGCTCTCATGTGACAATTGACTTAACAACCTCCTAAACCATCTCCTTGCTCCCTCTTCATCCAGAGTTGTTTCTGTAAAGGCCAGACCTGACAAGGCTCAAAATCCCTTTGACAGCTCATCACAGTTCACAGAATGAAGCCTGGACTCTGGCACTATCTTTGGTCTGTCCCCAAACTACCTTTTCTTCTTCATGTCCCCCCATTTCCCTTGCTCTGTGCACCACGTGCTGTCATCAGGCAGGAATACTTGGGGTCCCCAGCCTGTGGGCCCTTGGAGCCGCCGCACGCTGCTCCTGCTCGAGACGACCCCTCACTTCTCTTCCCAGAGAAAGCCCGTGAAGTCCTCAGGTCAGGCTAGATGTTGTCTCTCCATGAAACCCTTCCTGAACTTCCTTCTCATCCCACAAAATTTACCACTTCTTCCTCTCTGCCCCTCCAACATTCTGTGTACTTTTATTAATAAAAAAGTTGTACTTACGTCATTGCATCGTAGTCATGTTGGAGGCCGAGAGGATGTCCTATTTATCTTCACGTCCCCAAAGCACCCAGCCCAGTGCTCAGTATTCAGCAGGCATCCATCCCATGTTTGTTGAGTAAACAAACAGCAGAATAATGGATGAATATGGCATGCTCAGTACTGCCTGCATGGGCTGGGCACCACGGCATCATTTGCCTGCTCTTTCACTGGCTTATCATTCTTTTTTTTTTTTTTTTTGAGACAGAGTCTCACTCTGTCACCCTGGATAGAGTGCTGTGGCGTCATCACAGCTCACAGCAACCTCAAACTCCTGGGCTCAAGGGATCCTCCCGCCTCTGCCTCCCAGAGTGCTAGGATTACAAGTGTGAGCCACCATGCCCGGCCTTAGCTCATCATTCTTAAGAGCCAGCCTGTGGGGCTGTCTCTATTCCAGCCTGTATGGTGTCAGTCAGCCCGAGTGAAAATGATGCGGTTCTCAGAAGAGTGTGGCTGAGCCGGGTCTCATTTTCCATAGGTCGCTCCTTTCTCCATAAGACTGATTACTCTGCCCAGTCCCAGACCCTACACCTCTGACCCACAGCCGGAGGGATTCGAGGAGCACTGTTGAGCATCCAGTCTCTAATCCTGTGTGGATGCAGGTAGCTGGCCTCTTGTCAGCTGTGGTTGCAGCACCCTGCCCCCACTTTTCACCCCAAGTTTTACAAGTGGGCCCTGATTGTCTTCACAAATCTGAGGCCATGGTTGGCAGCCTGACCTGTACCCCATCACCAGCACTGGAGCCTCTCCCCTGCTGGACAGGTTCCTGCTGCTGAACCCCAACCTGGTGACTGGCACTTTGCTTCCTGTTGCGAGATTTCCTTGGTGCCAACTTCTGAGTATCTGGTGTTCATTGACGTTTTAACGTTTCCGTCAGCCCAGCTGTCACTCTTACCCTCCTTCCCGGTGCAGTCTGCTTCTGCCTGTCCTCTGTGCCCTCATGGCACACCTGCAGGTGTGTTCACCAGCTGTGGCCATGGGGCATCGCAGCTCCGCCTCTGAGCATGGCATCTGTCATCATGCGGGTAAATAAGCCAGAGCCAGAGTGGTCGTTCACTTCTGCCACCACCTCCTTGTGGTCCTCCACATCCCCGCTTAGTTCACCCCCAAATCCCCTGGACTGTAGCTTCCATAGTCCTGAAGAGTGCACTTGTCTTCAGCTCCGCACCATCATTCTCATCCTCATACTGTCCTTTCTCACCCCAATTGCCTCAACCGCATCTCAATGAATCCCCCCAATCTACTCTTGCTCCCTGTAATGCATTCTCCACACTAGCCAGATGTAAGCCTTTAAAGATGTAATACTGTTCGCGTCACCTCATGGTCCTGCTCAAGACCCTTCCCAGCCTCACCGTGCGTTTAGGAACATAGACCACAATAGAAGAATGGTAGAAAACACAGCCCACAAAGCCGTGGGTGTCCAGCCCCAAGCTACCGCCCCAGCTTCCCTTCCTTGCTCTGGCCAATGCCCAGTGGCGCACACCCCATTTCATCCCACCCTGGCCTCTAAGCGTGTCGTTTCCTTTGCCTACAACTCTGTTCCTGTCTTTCAACTTAAAGCTGAAGCACCTCCTCGTCACAGCACCTCTCTGATGCCCACCTCCTCTAGGATTTTCTATCAGCCTCTCGCATGTGCTCTCACAGCTCCCTGAGCTCCCCCTTTATGGCGCTTATCTCAGTTTTTATTATGTAGTCAGTGATTGTTCATTAAAGTGTTTCCCATACGAGACTCTACTGAGGTCCAAGGACAGGAATCGCGTCTGTTTTGCTCACAGTTTTATTGAGCCCTGTGATTAACGTGTAGTCAGTGCTTCATACATATTATTAGAGGTAAATAGCGCCAGCATGGCCCTACCTGCCCTTCCCACAGAAGCTGTGTGGGGCTGTGTGCAGGCATGTCCTAGATGTGCTTCCCTGTCATGGACCCCTCCGTGAGCCCAAACACAGGTGCTACCTTATGAAGGATAAATCATAAAATAGATTTCCAAAACGGGACCACTGAAATTCATGCTCAGCATCTTGCATTGCTTATTGAAAATATTTGGATATGCATATTTTTACTTAATTTTCTTGGTGTAAGAAATTTGATAGATATTACATATCATTTTCCTCTAAGTTTGCTGTGCCTCCTTGAAATCACAGCCAGTAAAAAGTTCTTTTCTTCGTGTTGTTTTCTTCTTTTAATCACATAAGAATTCTGTTTCCCGTTGGATTTCTTGTTTTGTCTTAGCTGCTGGGGAACTCGGTGCTGAATTTTATGTTTAACTGTAGCGATTACCTCTGCCCAGGTGCCTAGGTACCTCTGTTCTCTGCTCTTTTTAAAGTAACATTTCTTTATTTATTTTTGGTTTATTTTCACTGTTCTATTGTGGTGTGCTTAATTATTAAAGACAATTCAGACCTTTCTTATATAAATATGTATTTATAGACTACATTATATATTTTTATATTGTATGTTGCATACCTATGTTATTAACATTTTATAACAAAAACCCCTCATCCTCCCTTTTTTTATGCCATAGTGACGGCAATCCATATTCCTCATTCGGAGCAACTCTGGCAAGAGATGATGAAAAGAATTTATGGAGTATCCCCCATGATGTGTCCCACACGGAAGCAGATGACGACAGAATCCTGTACAATTTGATAGTCATTCGTAATCAGCAGTCCAAAGACTCAGAGGTAAGCACGTTTGACATCTCGCTGTGTGCAGATGGCGCCGTGTACTGAAAAATGGCAATTCCGGAGAAGACCAGCTCGAAATAACAAAAAGAATGAAGGACGAGATATTCGAAGTGAAGAGCAGATATTTTAGCAGCATCTATTATCACTAGTTGCTAATTATAGCTAGTCTTGATTGACCTGCTTCGTACACAGATACGACTCATTTCTAATTATTACCTGAATGGTTCAAATTACACGCAAGGCAATGCTGTCGAAGGGTGTGAAGCTAGTTTAGTGTCTTAAATGGCTTAAACAGTCCATCTCTAAGCCTTCCAGTTGTTTAGCAAGCTGCAGTCAGATGATTCAGACCGAAGTGTGGAGAGAGCTTTGTGTTATCACTAATTCTGAATTTGTGAGGCCTGAGTTAGTTTTTTTTTTTTTTTTTTCCTGTTTAAAGCTTCTTAAATTGTGCATATTGGTCAGACAGCAGTGGATACACCATATTTAAGATCAGTCTTGTCATAAGGCTTGAACCCTTGTAAGGCCTCTAAATCCAAAGTTATGGATATGAGAACACTGAATATAAAAAGGAGAGAACTGTATAAGTTAAGAGAAAACAGCCAAGAGGATTGTGTTTTTTCTCCTCTCTTTCGGAGGTAGTATTAGAGTACTATGTAGAATACAAGAATCATTTTCCAAATCATGCCACCTAGCTTTTCTGGCTTCTGTGTTGATCAGTTAGCTCTGAGTGGACGCATGTGTTGGATACACACTACATGCTTCTTTGTACTTGATAGTCATGGAGAAGAGCAGGGAGACAGCACCCCAGGCTCTGGCTCTGGAAAAAGTACCGGTGTGTGTAGTGGGAAGGATGGCCCCATGGGGCTCCTCTATTCCCTATCTAAGTTTCTTGATTTTTGCTAAGTAATTGCTAACTATTTTCTCTAAAAAACATATTCTAGCAGGAGGTGATAACTTCTAGAAGTGCTGTGTGTCCTGGTCCTTTTATTCTGGTGCGACTTGGATGCCTTTGAAGGGATAGAGGTGGGAAATCACAGGGTGGGGGAAGGGCTGATAGTTGCCCCTGGTCCTTGAGGCCCAGGGCAGGGTGGGCTGGAGAGTCCCTTGGTGGCTGTTGATGTGTAGCATCCCTCTAATGACCAAGCCTCTGCCGAGAATAGCACTCCTTGGCTATCCTTCCTGAGCACGTGGAATGCGTGGCCTTGTTTTTCCTTTAATGGGAAGAGCAAATTCTTACACTCTTGTATTGTGTTGACCAATTAGAGTTTCTGCTGGTGTAAATGGAACTAGTTCTTTTCTTTTCTTCCTCTTTTTTCCCAATCCTGCCCAAAGCAGTAACAGCAACAGGGAAATAATGTATAGCATCTTTCTTTCTCTCTCTCTTTCTCTCTGACACTAGGGCCCCATGAAAATGTGGAAGGGGCTTGAAAAGGCGTTTGGAGCTGGGCCTGAGAGCTCTCCCCGGAGGAGTGCCTGCCTTTCTGCCTTGCTTCTCTCTACTTTTCAAAAGAGAGCAGGGGAGGCAACATGAGCTCCAAAGCACTCTCAGTAAGCACAGCTTCCACAGTGGCCCTTTGTGTCTTTTCTGGACTGGTCCTTGGGCCTGGTGTGAGGGGCCATCTAGAGGCTTTTTCTTCTCCTTGCCCAAGAAATGGAGTCAAGCTTGACTGTGGAGGAACTCTATTACCAGGACAGGCAACCAAATAAATAACATGAAGACTGGTGATAATTATTATGAAATGATTTGAAATATCCCTATTCATAGTGCTTCCTTTTAAATATAAAAGTAATATGGTTAAAAAAGTTGCTTCTATCTTCTTCTAAAATTTTGAACTGCATGCATATATTAATATATCTAGTCATTTTCCCCATAGATCAGATCATGGATTACATATTTTCTCTGCTTTGCTTTTTTCTGCTTAATATATTTTGGACATATTCCGATTTCGATATGCTTAGATGTACCCTATTGCTTTTGGGAACTCTCTAGCGTTTTCTTGCAGGGATTTGCCATCACTTATTTCTTCAGCCAGCCCCTACTGATAGGCTGATTTGCTGTGAGAAGCAATGCTACAGTGGACATCCATATGTACGTGTCTGCTCTTCCATAGTTTCTTTAGGAGCAGAACTGTTGGATCGAAGTAGGTGGATTTAAAATGCTGGAATCATGATGGCACTTCATCCTTGGAGCAAACTAGGAAAAGCACTTCAGGGTGGAGAACAGAGGTTGCGATCTCAGATCCCTCCTGGGATTAGGCAGTAACATCAATGGGCACGATGAGCACCCCTTCCCCCCATACTCACTCGCACTGGAAACTCACACTGCCTCGAAGGGGAGCAGCTGTTCAGCTCCAGATAACCGTTTGCCATGTTGAGAATGTGGTCCTACAAATGAGGGAACTTGCGATTTTTAATAAGAAGCAGAAAATCCAAATTTTTATATCAAATGTCCAGTTTTTAAAATGATAACTCACATTTAAAAATGTGTCAGCTAGATAAAATATGTTTATGGGCTACTGATACATAAGGACATTTATAGTGAGGATGACTGCTACTTATTACTGTTGTTTTGTCTGGGATGATTGAAAAATGGTCTAGAAGGTAAAGGTGGGAAGCTAGTGGAGGTTGTTTTAAGTTTGAACAAGTTCTGTATCTATTACTATTGCTTGTTTTCTTTTCCACACAGGATAAAATTGGTACAGATTTTAATAGAACAAAGGATTTTCGTTTTGAAAGAAAATCCAATTCTATGTACTAATGAACAAGGAACCCTAGATATTTTTGTATGATACAGTTTAGAAGCTAAGCAAGGTATTAAGGAAAACTGAACATAATGTTTTTCCATGTGTAGCTACAGTACAGAAGACCTAGGAATGTCCATATTTGGAATTCTCTGAGTAATGAAAAATACTTCAGAACTTCAAAACTGTGTGTACTCCCTACTTTCCCATATAAACCTGAAGCTGGTTTGTTAAGGCTAAATTTATGGTGTTCCAAATCGAAAACAAGTCAGAAAAGAAAGGATATAGGAGAGCAAATAATGAAACAAAGGTGTCAAGTAGCTTGTAGTGTCAAAAAAATATAAAAAGTAACATTATTTAAATTTTATAGACAGAATCCACTTTCATTTACACAAACCTTCAAGAGCTGATGGAGACTCATGCTTGTAATTCTAGCACGTTGGGAGGCCAAGGTGGAAGGATCACTTGAGACCAAGAGTTTGAGACCAGCCTGAGTAGCAATAGTGAGACCCTATTGCTACGAAAAATAAAAAAAAAAAGTTAGCCAGTGTGGTGGCATGTGCCTGTAGTCCTAGCTACTTGGGAGGTTAAGGCAGGAGAATCTCTCGAGCCCAGGAATTTGAGGCTGCAGTAAGCTACGATTGTGCCACTGCACTCCAGCCTGGGCGACAGGGCAACACCCTGTCTCCAAGAAAAAAAAAAGCTGATGGAAAAAAGACTTTTTAGTGGAAGAATGATACATTTGCAGACCTCCAAGTAGTGGAAAAATTATTGCTTTTATCTTTGAATGATGCCATAAAGTATTTTATGTTTGACTAAGAAATAGTAAACAACCTCAAAATCATGTAACTAAATCATTACCCTTATGTTCATTCTCATTAAGCTAGTTGTACTTTATATAACACACTCTGTTCTAAAAAGCTTAATTGTTAATGATATATGGATGTAGCTTATTTATTTATTTAGTAATAATTGTAATCATACTGAGTGATCTTATCCTCCAAGATATTTACAATAACTAAAACAGTGCCAAGCACTGTTCTAACTACTTTGCGTATATTAACTATGTCCTCTTAACAACTCAGTGAAGTAGGTACCATTATTATTTCCATTTTAATCAACTTATCCACGGCCACACAGCTGTGGAATTTGGAGCCAGGATTTGAATCTGGGCTTCATGAATGCAGAGACGTATAATGTAATGTGTATCATGATGGAAATCGTGATAGAGGAACAGATACTGTGTGTGATGAAATTTAGATTTCAAAATGCATAAGCAAAGTCTACCCAGAGCCTGTCTCTGTGATTTGTTGATACCAATGCATATGAAAGGCATTTTCATGTCAGTGGGATGAGAGCAGTGTTTGGTTTGAGGACGGTGACCACGTTTCAGGAAATGTTCCCAGGCACAACACACTTTTCCCAGCTGGGTAAGACCTATTCCCCAGGCTTCTGTTTTATTATAACAGCTCCAGAATGTTTTATTCTGCTTCATTCCATCCCTTCTTCCCTTTGTTTGGTGTTCTCTGACCTGTGTTGTTTGATGCCCCTTCCAATGGTTCGGCAACAATTCCTTTATGAATTTGTACGTACCTTCCATGTTTTCACTCTGCTAAAAAAAAAAGCTTTCACAACTTTTGATCAAGAAAATATATGCTAAATATCAGATTATTCCCATAAACACTTTCGAGCATTGTTTTGGTACAAAAATAGGTGATGTTTATTTGGCATAATGAGTGATAGAAATTCTGTGCTCATTTTTATAGCTACCGAGTAACTGCATGCTCCAGAATGCGTGCAGTTCTCAAGACCAGTGCCTGCCCACTGATCACTGGGAGAGGCAGGATTTTCTCATCAGCAGGCACCACATGACCACCAGATGCCTGTGTGGCTGGAGTGATCCCGTGAAAACCACCCTCTGCAGGGCCCTGGGGAACAGCTAAATATTATTTTTTGAAACTACAGAGGCAATATTTCATACAATTATTACATGTCAACTGAAAATAAAAGGAAAAAAATAGAACTGCAGAGGCAAAACCATAAATGTACAGTATGTTTGTTCTTCCTGTGCATCAAGATCACCTGCTGCCAGAGTGCTGCTAGGCATTGTAAACAGTTTCTATAAAATGTTTAAAATAGCAACAGGCCTTCCCAGGGGCTGGATTACATGCTTAGCCGATCATGTCTTGAATACAGAAAGAGGCTACACAGCAGAGCTGATTGGAGTCTCTGGTGGGAGAGCGTGAAGGTGGGGAA